TGTTTTTGCTGATTTGTAATTTTTTTAACGGCCGTCAGACACCACCTAGGAATTCTGTCCGCTACGTCAACGTCCACAAACGGATTTTTTGACAGTGGTGGATGGATGGGTAAATGGCAAAATTGAGTGAGTACTGTGAAGGAGAATGAAGTTCGGTGAACAGTCCGTGACGATGATATAAGTTCAGTGATTTTTGAAGATTCGCTCGTTATATTATTAGTAACATTATATTTTTAAAAAATATAATTCCATTCCTAAAAGTGTTTTAAAAAAGTTAATACAGCCCACGTTGATATTATATCGTCCTACATTTGATGGGGACCTAGTTGTCATTGCCACAAGACCAGACCATGAGACAAGTAGTCCATTGATGCAATTTTTTAATTTTTACTCTTCCATTGCCAGATATAATGGATCAATTGCACCAGTAGCATCTAATTGATACTTCACATTATTTTTATGTTTGGTACATAATATTCTATAGGATTAAACGGTATAATAAATATTTTTTTTTTAATACAGTCTTAACGCTATTCAATCATCTTTACTAAATATGTAATAAAGGTCTAAAGGTGGATCAAGATGCTGGACATAGATCAGCCGCCTAATTCTAACATATGTTGCACCATTAGTCGACTTGGGTGTAAGAAGCCAGTAGACTTGGACATTGGGTTGGTTGTTCCAAGTATTTTCAATACTCAAAATCATCAATTATACTTCGAGTATTTCATAAACAGAACTATTCGGATTCTTGTAATTATTGAAATCAAACCCAAACTCGAAGTGTCGATTCCGGTTCGAGTTCGGTTCTACCCATACATTTTTTTATATACATTTAATAAATATTTCCATAAAAGCCATTTCAATACATATACTTAACACGCTACACAAAATATTTGTGCAAAGGAGAAACTCAACTAAAAAATCTTTAAGAAACAAAATAATGGGGGACTAAAAATCATGAAAAATGAGAAAATTAAAACGTCAAAAATTAAAATTATAGTTTTAGACGAAATATTTTTTTTAATATATATTTTTCAATCCATAAGTGGGGCATACTAGAGCTAATAACTTATTTATGAACAATGTTTAAATTCTTCAACTCTTAAAACAAATTGACATAAATTTTTTTAACTATATAATATTAAAAAATTGCAGTCCATATAATGAACTCGCTATGTTCAAATAAAAAAGAAAAAAATATTTTTTTCAAAAGAGAACACGAAATCAAGATAATAGAAAGAGTTACACCACAATCCAAATTATAAATATGTCAAGTTCAATTGTCACGTGTCACAAAAATTTAAAAAATAAATTAAGTTTGTAAACAATGCAAGAAAGTAAAAAAGCTTGAAGTGCAAAGAGTGAACACTTTGATTCATCAACTTACACCACAACCTAGTTTGAGTTTTTTGATTCATAGAAAGTTCAAATTGTAAAGATTGACATGTACTAACCTCTAAAATGCAACAATCTGATGTGAGGCGAGCGTCAAAAAGTAAGTCAATCTTAATTTCTTAGGATTAAAGTCTAGAGTTTTAGATAAATTACTACCCAAATTAGGATATTTAGGTTTTGTATTTTTTTTTTATTTAGCCTATAAATTGTAAATAAAAAAATTTATATAAAAATCGATTCCATTCGGGTATCCACAATTCTAGTTCAGGAATCAAGTCTCGGTTCTGGTTAGATTTCGACAAGTTCGATTTCGATTAAAATGTCCAGGCCTAAAAGCCTGGACCGACACTTTTTTTAAAAAAATAGTAAAATTTATTGTTAGGAGAAAATGATATATACATGACTACATCTAAAATAATATATATAATTTGAAAAAAAAAATAAAAATTGAGAAAAGTACAAAACGATCAAGTTATAATGAAAATAATGTATCTCTATGGAAATGCGAAGAATATTTAAAATTGTTGAGTCTAAACTGTTGCGCCCATTTAGCTTTGGGCTTAGTCCCAAGGTGAACCCCAATCTTGATCTTGGAGCTGAAATATTTTTAAAATGAAAAATAGTATGGAGCCTAGTTTCCACTTACGGTTATTTTCAAAAAGAAATTTCGGCTCCAAATTGTTCAGAATAGTGCCCAGATGGCCTGACCGACTCCGTACAGGCCATGTCGAGCCGCGTGGTTTTAGCCTTCATACATACATAAATGTGGATTACAAATGGCATGGAAAATGTTATCCAATTGGAGGTGGTGGTTGTCCTGTTCAGTGGGCATGGCCATCTGCTCTGAGTGTGGAGTGCAAGTGATTTGGACCACATAACAGCAACCACTCTTTCAGTCCTCTCTCTTTTTTTTTTCTTCCAATTCACTTTCTCCACACAACTTGTTTGTGCCCACTCGCTTCAACTTCTCGACTATAGTACCTTACTTCTTTCTCCATCCCAATCTGACTTTTGTGCTGCTTTTGGTTTGGTTGCTTTCAACATCTGGGACAATGTTATCTAAAATCTTAAATTGATGTGTTTTAAGCGACAGAAGTGTTGATTATTCTAAATACTTACCAATTCATGCAAACTTATATTGAGCTTAACAGCTACTTTAATTGTGAGATTATAAAAATAAAATTATTAAAACTGAATTACTCTTTCATTTCTTTAGCTAGAATCGAGAGTTCAATCGGAACTATCTAAATTTCAATTTTAAAATCTAAAACCTATTAAATTCTAACCAAAATCGATATAAGGTTATTGGATCCCAAGAAGAAACAACACCCCCAAAATAATTTTATCTTCAATACTACCCCTAATGTCACATATCATGCATAAAGAGAAAAAAAAAAGAAGCAAATCAACCTTTTACTATTAGGTTTTAATGAAACATTTGTACATGACCTATACAATAAACGACAACAAATAAATTATGTGCCATATCAAATTTAGTAATAAAAAAACACAGATATTTATGTTTGTCAATAAGAAAAAGAATCCCCATACTTCTAGTAGTTAATATATTTCTTGTGACCTTGTCCAAAAATTATGTGCTTCATCTTGAGATTGAAATCTTCAACTGCCAGGCTAGCACTAGTTGTTCTCATGTCCTTTGGATCAGTTACTATTCAAGATTCTGGGACCATTTGCACTCAATTATTTGCTGTAGAAAGAAGCAAAAAATGTTAGGAATACATGAATGAATAAGAAAGTTCAACTGTTATGTTACCTTTTTGAGTCACAACTGACCTTAAGCAATTAATTCTTCATAACTAATGAAAGCCAGCACTGAAAAGATTCTGCCATTCAGAATCCCAAGTTGGCAGCATTCGTGCTTGCTACAAATATTGTAATATTTCTAATTAGATAAAAGGGCTTTTGATAAAACTATAGAGTTCGTTAAGGTTGTGCTTGTTATGCAGTACTGGACATGTGACGTTAACTGTACAGTATAATACACGATATTTTGACCTTTTCTTCTTAGAGCATGTTTGGTTATGCTCATTTTGTCAAACGCTATTTCTTTTAAGCACAACCATAAATGCTTGAACTGTCTAGTACTGTTTAGTCGAGCATACCATAGGTGCCATAAGAGTTAAAGAAATTACATGTGCAGAAGAAGAATCATGATATACTTCTGTAATAGGCACAGAAGAGCTTCCTTCTTTTTGAGGTAACATTTGAGATGGACTCATTGCTATATCAACCCCACAACTTATAGCTCCTTCTTGCAGTGGATTATACTGTAAGCTTGTTGGATTCGAGACTTGTAATTGCGTCGGGAAACTGGCAATATATGCTGGAATCTTCAATGGACAATTTTCGATCATTAGTTAGCTATAGAGGAAGGCATTTTTCATGTTTTCTGATAAACAGAGTTAGTCGGATTTTACAATGTCACAAGTAGTACCTCTTTCGAGAAGAAATCATCGATGCTGAAGTCGAGCCTTGGATTTAAAGCAGCCAATTTCATCGAAAGGAACTGTGAGTTACAACCCAAAATTTTGTGGACTCTAATTAGTAAGGAAACAAATGAGCAATCCGAATAAGTACTAGTCAAGACGAGGATAATAGAGCTAATTACCATTACCTCGACTTGTTTTTGTAATGACTGAACATAGTTGATGATTTCATCAAGCATTCCAGCTTTGCCAGTTACTTTGTTACATCCAGGGACTAAATCCTGCAGATACTTCATTTTCTTGCTGATTTTCTCCCTCCTTGCCTGTAAAATCATTAGCCAATTCAGCTTTCAGTTCATTTTCTTTTCCAAGTATTAGCCTGATATTCGTATATTTCGGATTCTTACTCTTTCGGCTAAGCTGTGGCTATCAGTGGCCTGGCCACGACGCGCCCTGACATGAATATAGTCGGGCTTTTGAATGCTTTCCTTCGAAGAAGTGTCAGTCGAAGTTTCCCTATCAGTTTTCACTGTGATATCTGACTGAACCTCTCCTGCTTCTCTTTCAGCCCCTTTGTCCTTACAATCCTCTTCAACATCAAACTGCAGTAAAAAATATCCTTAAATTTCTCACAAGAATTTATAGTATAACATTATTGAAAGCGTAGTATAAAACCAAACCTCTGCTTTTCGTTTCCTCGTGGAATTGGAGACAGTTCCTTCTCTCTTCAACATGCCGCTATTGATCTGATGATCGTGTTTTGTCTTTGACGAGTTATTAGAAACGGCTGAAACTGAACCACTTGTGAGTTCAGGACAGGCAAATCCAATATGCTGCTGCTGCTCTCTTCCAGATATAGCAAAACTAGGCAAACTGATTTCATCCAAACATTGATCATATTTCGCCGGCTGCAAATTTGGCATATTTTGGTGAATCGTAGGATTTATGTTAGCTTCTTGAGGTTGCCAAGAATGTTCTTGTTGTTGATAAAGGCGTTGTAAGACGGCCGTTTGTTTTTCGAGGACACTCATGTCCATGCCCATGACCGCGTATTTCTCAGGCGACGAGGTGGTGGATTGAGCCACACATCGTAACATTTTCGACCTGCCGGCTAGTGGATAGGGAGGTGGTTTATAAGTGCTTAATTAATGGGCTGTGAATGCGAGGAAATGAAGTACCTGAATGGATAT